AAAATAGCTAAACTTAGTTTTTCATAGCTTTATCTAGTTTTGCAAAGTATATCTTAGTTTTTGACTTGGGGCTATTTAGGGCTATACTTGGCTGCAACAATCAAAGCAGACACTTATATAGCGATACCATAAGTGCATCAATGATGATCGAACTATTACTTTTCGGGTGTCGGCGACGTCGCCGCTGTGCTAGCCACTTGTTGCCATCGGACGTTCAACCGTGCACGATGTGCCAAATGCCGTCCCAGGTCATAAACAATGTGAAAACTTAGAACGAATTACACTGTTGGAAAAGGCTGCAGTCTCTGTTCAGGAGCTAGGACTTCCAACTTGAACTTGGTGCCAAGGACTGTGCTTTGGAAAGCATCAGGTGGTTGTTCCAATCACCCATGAGGACATATGGGTGCTTGGTGTGCTGGAGTAGGGCCAGAATACGGCTCAGAAGCTGGCCCTGGCCTGCCAGAGGAAGGCAACATAGCCGCATCCCTCGATGTGGTAGTGCTCAATCACGGAGATGCCAGCAGTGACGTCATGGACAGCCAAGATGCCTCCATGAGTGCTGCTCGTCATTGTGCGCTGCAAGAAATCCAAATGCATGGCGGCCCTTGATGGTCAATTACTGGCAGGTTGTGCAGTGCTGCTGCTAGTTCAGACGGGTTCAACAAAGACATAGAGCACTGGCGTGAATGGTGCCCCAAACTCACCGCTCTGTTTGCAGCCAGCTTGGTGCTTGAAGCTTGAACGTAAAGCTGCCCGTTGACAATGCAGTCTCCTTTGCCAGTCGCCATTCCCAAGCAGAGCTTCAGGAAGAAGAGGGCAGGCGCAAATCAATCTCTTTCAAGATCAGTCGCTAAAACGCGGCCCATCCTCGAACAGCGCCCATCATTTTTGAGGCTCCAAATCTGAACAGCTCTCATTTCAACCAAGTGCAAGTCCAATTCCTTGTTTAATGGAGTGTCCTCCAAAAGGCCCTGTGCTCGACCCTTCCTTCATCCTCGAATAGCAGCCGTTGTTATCTCTTTTGACCATGTTCCATGAGTATTTGGGTCCTTTCAGTTTCCACTTGAGCCTCATGTCCTTCAAAATCTCTGTTTGGACTCTGACTCTCGATGCTTTAGGCCGCAGACATTTTTAATGTGCCTCACTGACACTTGACAGCTCTATTTGCGGACCTACGGTCGATCACAACTGACAACACTTTTTTATTACCACCCGGTGACCACCCGGTCACCGCGTCCAGGAAACCCTGATAAACCCTGTCACCTTGTTTTGCCCTCAAAAAAAGGGCACTGTTTCTGCGAAAGTTCTTCAGCTTCCTTGAAGAATCTGCCGCCAGAACCATAACCACAAAAGCAGAAGGAAAAAACAAGACAGGAACATCAACCTAAGAGCAATTGCCTCCAACCTACCACAACCATAACCAGATTGAAGAATCTTTAGTTTCCGAAATCATAGTTTATTATTGTTGTTTTTTCTTGAAATCATGTTTGATTCGTTCGTGCAGTATGGTAGCCTGATGACATAATGCTGATAATTCTCTTTAGATTTGTGTACAATCTGCGACGCGTTGTCGTTTTTTGATTGATAGATGGGCCAAGTCATGGACCTCAAGTGATCTCCCCAAGGTACGGCAGAAGGATCGCTCCAAGCGGCCCAAGCTCCGACCATTTGGTCCCTGCGAGGGAACTTGATGTGGGCAGTTTCATGTGATGTTCGGCATCTCGCTATTCGAGTTTCGCTTCTTTATTAATATAGCTTCTTGTTACTGCTAGTAAGGCACTTGTTACTAGAAGCGATGCACTTGTTCCTAGTAGCTTATTGTTTCTAAAATTATTTTTATTTATATATTTCTTTTTTTCTGGGGCAATTTTCGTCAATTATATATTTTTTCTCACCATTGTCACCGCATCACCATTCTTGCGCCGCCCAGGCTTGGCGATTGTTCAATTTTCTTGCAGTGTTGTCATTGTAGTCGCATTTTTTTAATTTAGGAGGGTGGACGGTGCGAGACAAGGTCAAGCATGGATCGAAATGCGACATCACTTTCTTCTACAACACCCTTTTTTCATTTGGCGTTCTTCCTACATCATCTTTGTCTTCGTGCAACCAACCTTGGCATTTTTTCCTTTCAACCCATGCTTTGCTCAACAAGTCAGAACAATGACTTCGTCAAATGTGCAGGGAAGGGCCATGATGGCCATGAAAGGGAGGGAACAAAACAACATTTACACCAACATAGAAAACATATGAGCAACTACCAAAACCTCCGATGAAGGCAGCATCACTACAGTGAAGACTAAGTAAGTAAAGTGAAGGAAACCTTCAGGAATGATAAGGTTCACAAAAAAAACGATAAGGTTTTAGTACATGTTCTCAGGTGTGTCCAAACCATCAGGAACGAGTTTTGCACGTTGCTCATATGAACACATATTGCCCAGATAGCGTTTTCAAGTAAGAAAACTTACGAGGAATATTTATGCGGTCGCTTGGTCGCTTTCGCAGAGTGATCAGAATGAATATTTACACTCTGCGAAACCAGCATTAGACCCCAAACAGTTTTTAAGTGCTTGAATTTCAGGTCAGGAAACGGACCCATCTAGACAAGGCCAGGGACAGGGCCGAGACAAGTGCACAAGGCAGCAAGGCAAGACGGAAGCGTGCCCCACCGGGCAAACATGGCTTCGGACAACAGGGCCTGGTTTTGTGAGACGCAATGACCCCTGTAGTTTCCAGCTACCTGGGGAACAAAGAGGCATTGTATGGCATTGAGAGCATAGTGAGCATTTGTGAGCCCTTGTTGTGCGTAGACGTGTGGGGGACACGTTGCGCATGAAAACGGTAGGTGTCTCAGACACCAGACGTAGGTGTCTCAGATGCATTTGTTGGACAGGCAAAGAACCAGCACAGGGAGGCCCAAAGCGGAGATGCGAAAAGTCGAGTGTGCATTCTTTTAGAGACTTGGGAACGGTTTGTTGAGACTCCATCCAGCATCGCATTCTTGGAACAGAGATTGCATGGGCTGTCCATGAGATGTGTCTCTACCTCTCAAGCTGTAAGCTGTTTGACATCAGTGGAGTGTCTTTTTTCCCTTTTCACCGCAGCGCTGCAGGCTGTAGATTTCAGATGCTGCGTTGGAGAGTTTTGCCATGTCATGTAATCTCAATTTTTTTCGACATAATGAATCAAGACTCCAACAATATATCCTTTCATTGCTACTAGAGTTACTAGGGTGGAGGCCATCGCTATTTGGTCGGAGGCCATCGCTTTTAGGTTGGAGGCCATCGCTATTAGAAACAAAGAAAAAGGAAAAGAAAGAATTCAAGCCTTTTGTTTAATCGTTTGATGTTTTCGGATTGCATCTTGGAACTGCTAAACTAGACATGGAGGATGCCATGGCACGCGCAGCCAGCAAGGATGGCGTGGGGTCAGCGTCTCACACTTTTGTTTCAATGGCAGACTTTCAGTCAAACTGAACGCAGTCCACGAACACCTTCCTGGCAAGAAATCTGGCGGCAGGTTAAACATCGGAATAGGCCATGTTTAGGATTCCTCCGCAGGCTAATTTTAGGCTGCGCCGCCGACAGCTGCTTTGGGGAATTTGCCGATTGTGATATTGGTGGTAGCGCGGCCATGAGCATGATTGCAGTCTGCACAGACAAGCACGAGAAGGGCACTAGTTTGACTGTGTGTTTCTTTGAGGCTTTGCTGATTCTTGTTTGATCTTGTTTGTGCTATTTAGTGCGAAACCTTTTTGTATAACTACTTACTAGGGTCCAAATGGACCCAACCTCAAAGAAGCTAAGTTTCCCTAAGAATGTAGGAGCCAAATCATTAGTGCGTGAACCATACTGCATCCTACCAGCTACCTAGCTACCTCTTTCTCTTCTAGCGGCCTAGCCCCCCCTCCCCCGGGCTTTAGGAAGAAAGCTAGTAGTAACAAGTGCATCGCTAGTAGTAACACGTGCCTTACTACTAGTAACAATGTTTGCTATTAGAAACAAGTGCCTTGAACTGTTTGTTCAACCTCGAGAGTAGTCGCGACGGCGGCGCAACGATCTTGGAGCCGACCGCATTCTGCAAAGGCATATACCAGGCATATACCAGGTTACCAGGAACGTGGTATGTATACAAAGACATAGCACCCGGAGGTTTTGGTCCGTTGTGTTATCCCGATGCTGGCAACTTCTTCAGCTCGGTTCAGCGTGGACATTTCTAGGCACAGCAAAAAAAACGAAAAACAATCTGCTTTGCAACAAGAGATTTCAAAAGAAAGAATCCCAGATACAGTATGCATGGAGTCATAGTGTGTCGAATGGTCACACAAAAGCGGGGCTCGTTTGATTTCTTTTGCTGTTGTTTTGTTTCTATTCATACTTACAGTCGATCTGCGATTGAAGCCTGAACAGTCAACGCGCCTTAGCCTTGCGTGAGTTGGTACAATCAAAGCTATTGTTAGTTCGAAACCACAGTCTTGGTTCTCAACGTGCTTGCTGTCTAGCGCAAAGGCACAACGTCATGGTTCTCTGATACCTTTCCATTTTCTGAGCTTTAATGGTGCCAAGTGCCAAGCTCAGTTTTGGCACGGTCTTGGTGCTGTCTCTCCTTGTCTTCAGTTTTTTGTTTGATTTCGTTGCTGAGGTCCCGCACAACCCCATCAAGTCCGTTCTTGGAGGCTGGCACATGCCACACTTTATGGAATGACAACCCACTGATTTTGTCTTCACTGTTAGCTCTGCTTAGCAAGCGTATGCTTGCTGCGAATGGATGCCTTGCCAATGCACGTGTGATCCATCCTGCAGTCCTTTACTCATCAAGTAGTTTGTGCAATGCGATGCCCGTCAATGTGCGGAATGCTCTCTTGTCAATAGCCGTTTCTCCTTTACAAGCCATCAGAGATGAAACCTTCATATACTACGCAAATGTACCTTGGCATTGCAATTGCGGCATATTGCTTTTTGCAGCAGGTGCCTGTTTTCATCTTGGAAGCATTGTTGTTGCAGGATGCAGCTGAGTGCATAGTGGCTGATAGGGTGACCGAGCCTCCTTTCCCCGTCAGGCCGCTCGCTGCAGAATTAGACAGAAAGAAAGCCGTGCATGGATTTGCATTTGGAGAGCTAAGGTTTACGGTTGGCTATGGTGATGCAAAGTTTCTGGATTTCCTTGAAGATTGGACTTTGAAAGACAACAAGTTCTGCCAGGGAGAGACAGCCTGTGATGTCTTCATATCGCCATCTTTCAGTGGGCAGAACTCAACAGTCTTGATCACTGCAAAAGCCAGCTGCACAAAACTGCATCAGCAACAGCTCTTTCTGTGCCCCAAGACTGGGACGCCAAGACTGAGCACGCCCTGCATAGTTCCCTCCTCAGTGAAAGACCGAGACTCAAAAATCTGCTCACCAAGATCAAGAAGACCAAGACTCGTAACGTGCAGTTCGCACTGTGGGATGAAACCGGCCGTTTTTGGGGCGCAGGCTGTTTTGTTGGAAATGGTGACCCCAAAAAATGAGAACCACCAGAACAGGGGGGTCCAACCCTGTTTTTGCCTTGTTTGGGGGGGCTTGGGGTGGGTACAAGCTGTGCTGCGTGCCCACATATGGGAGCGATGAAATGATTCTAAGAGCTCTGGAAAAAAATGTAAAACATGGAAAACAAAGACTCTTAAGAAGAAAAAACAAACAATTGGTGGTGAGCAGACACGTTGATTGTGGAGACTGGGGAACAAAAGCAGATTAGTGTCCACGCGTTATGTTCCCAAGGATCATGCAGCAAGGTCTGTGAAAGCCCTGTGTTCAAGTAATTCTGGTGTTCAACTGTAGCTCGCAAACAATGTGGCAACTCAAAAGACTTGTTGTTGCAAATGTTTTGGCGCGTGTTGCAACCCGTGTGCCCAATGCTTGGGATGTGTTTGTGGAGGAACACAAAAGCCCAGGCCAGCTTTTATTTGAAGAAACACGCGTGTATGAATGGGTATGAAAAAACTTTTGGATTTGCCTGGATCACTAAAGTCTTGAATTATAGGCGCAATCAATCCTGGTTGAATCAACGCAATAAGCGTTTATTGGTAGGATTTGCCTGTGCCCTTCTGCCTTTGGCTGTTGCGAAATCGCCAGGTTCAGTAGTTGGATCACACACAAATTTTAAGCGCGTAGCCGCGTAGCCGCGTAGCACGGTCTATAACGTTAAAGTTTGTGAGTGATTGCTTTGTCGATTTGTCGATTTGACCTGAGTGATTGCTTTGTCGATTTGACCTGAATGATTACTTTGTCAACCTCAGCCCGCTTCGCCGCTTCCCGTCTATCATATTCAGTTTGATGTGGCAGGATGGCCTCCGTTTTGGCCGGTGTGGAAGAGATGTCAGGGTTACCAATAGGCAAAGAAAGCAGAATCACTTAGGCAAGTGGCAATGAAAACTAACCATCAGTTCATAGAGCTACGGGGCTATGAACCACTAAAGAACTTGTAGTTCTATTCTTGCAGGCTCAGGTTTGGCCATATTATGGCTAAGAAGATGCCACCATGCCACCTCGTTAAGTGCTCCTACTAGAGGTCTGAAGGTGAAATAGATGTAAAGAATAGTGGATGGGACTATTAACCATTGAGGGGTGGTGCCACGCTGGCCACTGCCATGTTTGCGTGTGATGGTAATGATTGTGAGAACGTGAACGATGAGAATGCCAATCCCAACATTCCCAAGATTGAGCCAGTTTCCAAAGATGCTCCGGTAGATGTATTGCCGGCTATGACTTTGTTGAAGTTGAAGCAAAGCTGTTGCCTGTGGACAGAGCAGCGTGGCAATAGTTTGGTAGTGGTGAACAGACTCTCTATGCTTCAGCTGGCCCAACTCTTCACCAGCAGGAGCATTCAAGTGAAACAATTGAATAAATGTTTGGAGGCAACTCATGAAGTATTACCAGGATGGTTTGCGCTCTCGGTGTTGCTAGATGCTGTTCCTCAGCTTGGTGGGCCTGATGTCACCCGCGCTGATAGGTTCAAGCTTGAAACTTGGCTGAGAACTGTGTGCAGGCCAGTGCCACACCGCCCGCCATTGTCAAGGGGGGTGCCTCCATTTTCCAGCAGGGCAAACAACGTAGATGATGGGATAGGTAGCGCAGAAGACTCCCAGCATTCTGGCAGATCAAGATCCCCCGCTTCACAAAGATCTCATGTCTCTTCGTGCCCCTGCTCCGCGGAGACGCTCAGCACAAAAGCCTCTGAGACAATACTCCGCCAACAGCAACTTCAGATCAGCTTGTTGCAGAAACTGGCGCAGGAACTCCAAAATGATTGCTCTAGCAAAGATCAGAAGCTGAGGCAATGCAAACAGCAACTCAAACGTTCTGAAGATAAAAACATTTGGTTGCAGGAACAACTGGATGAAGTCAAGGCGAAGAAGATGAAACGCCTTGCTATTGAGCGCCATGAAGACAAACGGGCAGCCCAAGCTGGACAACCTGTCACTGAAGGCGAGAGCAGTGGGTGGCTCACACCCGAAGGCTGCATAAGCCTTGCCATTCAGAGGAATCTGAGCAATATAGCAACAGCTGACATCGGTCTTACTCTCATGGTTACATTGTCCAGGTGGACTGTAGCAAGAGCAGAAGTACGCACAGGGGCTTGTCTCATCGCATCCTCTCGCTTGTTTTGGCAGTGTGGTTCCAGGAATTGGCAAACGCAAAGCCAAGCTCCTTTGCCTTGACCGTTGTGTCCTACCGGCAGGACGCGACAAATTCAAGCGTGTGGAACCGGTCGAAGTTGACCGCGCTGGAAGCTGAATGTTGCTACGCTGTTGGGCTTGAGGAACAGGATTTGTTTGACCGTGGTAACATTGGGGCTGTTCAAGAGTATGCTGATCAAGCCTTTTCAACCATCAAGCGGTTGTCAGACGTCTTACCCGTTGCTGACGGCAGTGGTAGAGGAACAGTGGCCCTCACTTTGAAAATGATCTCAGCCCTTGGAGTTCCAACTTGGTACGATTGGCAAGAGCTTTTAAATTCGAAGAACAGGCTGCCAAAGAATGGAGTGATATGGTTTTGCTGCACCACAGACCGTGGGTCTAATGAGAGTCAGGCAAGAAAACATATTCTTCAGCAAACAGCTGATATGGAACGATGCCTCTTCCTAGACGGAGATTGTTTCGAACATCAGTGCCACCTGGGCGTTCTGTCTGGGCTTTGCTTGTTGGATGATGCACTCAAACTTCACGGCAGACCATGGAAATACTATTCCAGCCTTGCAATTTTTTCAGCCTGTGCCAGGGATCTTAGCAATGACCTGTTTAAAGTATGGGAGGAAGTCTATGGGGCAACGGATGCATTGAAGCATGCAAAAAAGCTTATTCCCCGCTCATCAGCAGGAAGGTGGGGGTGTGTTGATTCAATCGAGACGCGTATCCTGGCAGCGCCTTTCAGTCATTGGGCAAATTGCATGACCCGTGTGATTCTGAAGAAGTTGAACCTCAATGAGAGTGAACTCCGCAATCTGGATGGTTTGCTGCCAAATGACTTATTGAACTTGTTTGCCACGACTCGCAAAGGCAAGCCCGGCAAGCGCAAGACAGATTCCAAGACTGCAGCAAAGGACAAAGAATCTACCAGTACCACAACTACAACCAGTGGTGGAGGAGCGGTGAAAGTTGACGTCCTGGCAGTTGAGCAAGTTGCGGAGTACGCAGCCCGCATCGGAAAATGGAGGAGGCACTGCGTTCTGACATTCAACGACTCGCTTTTCGGACGGGTTGTGAAGGCTGCCAATCTGAGCAGGGCTGCGCTGATACACACCAGCAATTTCTTGAAGCAATCTACAACTCCTCGCAAGCTGTTTGAACTGGTGTGCCACAAAGCGCATAGCATCATGAAGGAATTTGATGATCTTCTGGTTGGCTGGTCTTAGTTGCAGTCCGGCATTTTCTATTTTGGTAGTTTTTCTGTTTAGTAATTAGTAAATAGTAATTCATCGTTCATCATGAGTGAACTGTGGTTGGTTAGTTTCTTAGGTCTTTTTTTTATTATTCAATTAATTGTGTTGGAAACTATACCTGGGCATTTGACGTTGGCCAAACAAAGGTGACACAGAAACATGGTCCAGCACTTGCCAGGGTCTGATGACAAACGATGCCAACTTTATAGCAAGCCTGAGCTGTCAACTCATTTTGGTTCACGCTTCCAACTACCACAGAAGATTGGTGGAAGTTCTGCGTCAGTACCCATACAGGGTGTTTTTGTTTTTGAAGCGTGGCCCAACGGTGTGCTGTGAAGAACGGCGCTCACTTGCAGCTGAGATCTTGAACCATGAAGATACGGACAAGATTTGCACTACGCCAAAGACACTGGCAAGTTGGGTCTCTGGTTGTGTTTGGCTTTAGTGAAAGTTCGGGAATGCTGGCGCGCAGACACAAGAGAAAACGAGAGAGCTTCTTGGAGTTTGCCATTGGCCAAACTACTTTTGTTGTGCCGGGTTGCGGGTTGTGAGTTGCGGGTTGGTTGGTCGGTTGTGTTTGAGTTGCAGTCACAGTCGCAGTCGCCTGTTCGCTTGTCCATGGTAAAGTCAAATGAAAACACTGGAATAAAGCCTTTAGTAACCATCAGATGTGCAGTGCAACGGGCAAAGAAACCACACAGAAAAAACAGATATGGTTTTCGGTTTTCTTGGGTCTTGTTCCGTCCCGTTTACGTTTCAGTTTCTTTTCTGGCCACCACCAGCCAGCCGATTGCCGGTTGCAACATGGGACTGAGGTAAACAAATCCCTCACATTGAGCAGTGAGCGTTGCCCGAGTGCTGGAAATGACTTGGTGTCCGCACGTGTCACGTTGAAACACTACTTGGGAGAAGGTGGAGAAGGTCGCGGCAAGGCCAACACCAAAAAGTGGAAGATCATGCAGCCTGTGGCAGAGGGTCTGTTGGATGAGTGTTTGAGGGGCTGGGACTCACACGCTGACGTGCTGCGTAACGAGGACAGATGGTCTGATCCTGCACCTTGCAAAGGTTTGTTGAAAGATGCTGAGCTTGCAAAAGCCATGGCTGCGCTTTTGCCACATACAAAGAAGACTCCTTCCTATATTTGGGCAGCTTGCTACAACATGCTACACAACAAGCGCATGGCGGCAACATCTGAAACCCCGTTCCTATACATGTGGAACTACATTTTGGTGTTTGGCTGCATGCGCAATGTTGAAGCAAAGAAGAGGACCACTTTCACTGCATATTTGATGGCAGAGAGACTCGCCATGCATGCAGGCTGCGACATGTTGTTTCGTTGCTGATGGCAACTGCTGGCACTACTCACGGCAACCCACAGTACTAAGCTAGTTGCCAACTCGGTCGAACTCCGAACTCCTGCTCGTGTCCATGTCGCAAC